GAATTGATGTCAGATCATAAAGCAGTCTCGTTCTCCGTTAAACTTTATGAGAAGGGCTCCATCTAAACAGGAAATTGTTTATGGTAATGGTCAGCCCAAAAGTCAATTGTTCAAGATCACGAGAGTCGAACACCTGCACCCACATGATTTGTCCCTTCCCGCAAGAGAGAATAATAAATAAATGAATATTCAACCCTTTTCAACAATTTTTCGAACCGAAAATTTCTTCAGCTCTTGGTGGTGGCTCAATCAGATGCGGGCGGAACTGGTAAACGGCTTTGGACTACATTACAGAATTCAATGACTTTGACTAATTAAACGAACGGAAATGAGTTGTCCACCTAACAATGACTGAAAAACTAATAATAGACAGAAATCCAGGATAAAGAAACAATTATGATGTTGTTAGTAATCTAAGGGAGCGTACGCGGCAGATTAGGCAGTATAAGTGGTGGATTTTATTAACGTTTCTACTCTTTCTTAGTGGTTTTAACGGAGACACCGTCAAGTCATTTGTTCTACTTTAAAACTCACAAACAGTCAAAGCGGCGCTGATGCGACGTTCTAATCCTGACCCTTGCGGGCATTGTCCTGCTCAATGCACCTATGAGGGAATAAGAAGAAGAAGAACAGCACCACTTTGCTCATAGTTGGCAACAAAAGTGTTGATCCACCAATCGTTCGGTATGCGCAGGTGACTTTTCGAAAGGGAAACAAAAGCGTCCCTTAAACACAACAGCCCTTCTGATGCAACACACATACTCGCACATTTTAACAAAAATAATGGTATCAGTTGATGAATAAGAAAAATAGACAGAATTTACAACAAACACAACAAAAACAACCAGCTAAAGCATTTAAACGTGGAAAAAACTCAAAAAATGCAAAACGGAGTGAAGAGACGAATAGCGGAAGAGCGGTGGAGCGCTGGAGCGGAGATCATCAGCATTCTCGGCTGGTTTGTGTAGCTAGCCGAGCGAGCAGGTTACTACACTAACAGAAAAAGAATGTCTTAGGTCAGGATGCGTTCGTCGTTCGTCGTCTGCACCAGCCAAACTAGAAACGTTCAATTCGGCGGCAACGGCCAAAGCAGTTGAGCAGGTGGCGCCGATTTTGGCCACGTTCGGCAGTTTCGTGTTTGTAATGTTCGATTTGAGTTGCCGCGCCGCTGGAGCAAGTGTGGCAAGTGAAAAGAATTCTGAAGTGTGCGTGTAAATTAAAGTGTGAATTAAATTGCCAAAAAAAAACACAACAACAATTTAAAAAAAAATAAATACGAGATTAAGACAGGATTAAAACGAAAGTAAAAACTTAGAATTCAACTTGTTTTGATAGTTACTGAGCTCGCGCTCACCAAGAGGGCAAGTGGCACATTAAGGCACTTCAGCAAAATATGTACGGAGCACAGTCCGAGATAATGAAAACGAGTAAGGATGCGCCTGTTCAACTTAAGGGTCCTGTAATTAAGGCAGAAGGCAATATCGGCTTCGCCGGCACTATCCCAAATTGGTAGATCATAGCCTTACAACGAAGATTACTCGAGCGACATTCGCCAGACTACGCTTCTTCACTAAAGTGCAAAGCAGTAGGAGAGTTCTCAAATCGCTGAAAAACAAAGGGACGATAGGAGCTAAAATAACTGTTGCCCCGCCGGTCATGAGTTTTTTGGACGCCCGGTCGAGTGAGACGAACCGGAGGGAGTTACAATCCTGTCAGAACACCGCCTTGACCACCAAAAAGTAAAAACTCTCGCTGAACGTTATCCTGTATAAAGAGTATATCTTGTGATACCACTACCAGGATTACCCTTCCAAAACACCTGCTTGAGTCTTAGTTCCTGCACAATCACAATCAGTAGGAAGAATTGTTTGAACATCCATTAGAACTTGTACTGATCTAATATCCTTTTCATTCCTATTGAAACAGATTCTTTCCTGGGCCTTCTGTTAGATGACCTCAACAACATCAGCCAGCTTTGGCTGCTCAAACAATTATGTGTAGGCCAGATAATTCAGGTAATTAGTTCGGAGATGCAAAAATCTTTAGAGGGCATATACGAGCTTTTAGTTCTAAGAACGTGTGTTGGTCTATTAAAGTACTTACGCTCTCACACATACATATATTCACAAAAACATTTACATATCTTCAAATGCCGTCAGCAACAAAGTAAATAAAAGCCGAAATGATTTTTCCCAACTCCGTAATACCAAAATTGGGTCAATACACATAAGATTGACTGGCTAAAGTATGGGCTGTCTGTTGTGCGAGAGCCTACCAACAACTATCAAGAGCAGGTACAACAAAAAATATAGCAGGACAAATGAAAAAAAAGAACAGAGAAATAATCGAAGAAGACACAGGCAAAAAAAAAAGTCGAGCGGAGGGCAGCAGCACTGACGACAGGTGTAGCCAAAGTGGCAGCAGGTCAACAACAACAACGACAATAACAGTAGCAGTGAAGACAACAAGAAAAAAATGCAATGTTGATGAATGTGGAAGAATGTGTGGGCAGAAAAAATCGAAGTCGAATCGAAGGTGCAACAGCCGTTTGGCTCTAAGCTGATAAAATTAAGTACGGGCGTTTTTTTTGCTTTCTTTTTGAATTTTTTGTGAAATTATTGTTTTGAACATCTTTACATATGTAAAATGCACACACATATACATAAATACTATGTTATGCGTAAGGATTGCCTGCGTAAACGCTGCATTATGCCGCAGTAGCCGAATCTTGTGTTATCGATCTTCGATTGTATTTCTCTCTCGCCAATGCATTGGCAAATTAACAAATTAAATAAAACGCGCTCATTTCACTAAGTGTCATATTTGGTAAACTTAACGCCAAACGTGTACATACATACATACATACATATACTTACATACAAGCACATGCATATATATATGTGCGAATATCTGTCATTGCAGTTTGGTTTGGACTTTTTGGAATTGTTTCTAAGCAAAGGTGTGACTTGTGCCATGCGACACACGCTGTTGCAGCTTTAAATTATATACGTGCTACATACATATGCATATACATATATAAAAACAAATCGCTTAACAATGTAATATCAGTATGTACGTGTGTACCTACGACAACCCGGCGCAGGCTTGTCGGCGCTTTTCAGTGTAATTTTTATTAAAAGTCACAAGCGATTACAAGCCAACGACGAGCATATGGTTTTTACCCCATTGCCAACCCCCCAAGTATCTCTCATTCCGCTGAATTACATCGCATTCGATAACCGGACGGACGGCTGCAGCATGTCTACGTCTGTGCTGTGCAAAGGACCAGCTACTGTGGCGGCTAATGTCGCGTTTGCTCATCATTGAGTCAAAATTGTCTGCTAGTGCAAGGGTAGGCGCTCGCGCCATCCGCCGACAGGTTACAACTGTAGACAAGTAGTCAGTCAGTTAGTCGAACAGTCAGTCAACCAGCCGTCAGCAGCCAAGAATGAAACCAACAAAAGGTACAAGCGAACCGGCGACGACACCCAGGACTCATTTACGAAGACAGGTGCAGATTTCTTATTGCGTGTATGTTGCGGCTGTGGTTGTTGTTGTGGCATGTAATTTTTACAGCCAGAAAAAAGGATATCAAGTGGTCGTGAAAAAAAATATTATAACGCGTAATCTTACATTCATACATACAGAAATATACGCAAACATAGAGTTATACTCGTATACCATTTTTAAGAGCACACAAATGATCGTGCAAACTGATCTCATCCTTTTGAATGGGGAAATCACTTCTTTGTCGCAGAACAATAAGTATAAATCAGTTAAAAATATGCACATATGTATGTCCTAATATTGGATCGCAATTTGCTTTGTGGGGTATAGCAACACAGTTCGGAGAGCCCGTAGACTGTGGTTGACTTTGAAGAGACGCTGGACATGATATAAGATGAAACTCGAGCTCCGATCCCGATGTCATGTGCCTCATACTTCTCAAATGGACCTTCAAGCGATCATGCCTCTCCGATTATTAATCAGTTTGGCAAACTGGCCGTGGACGTATTTTCAATAAAATCATCTCAAATTTAAAAGGAGTGAGCTCTCTATCGAATATATGTGCACATGTGTGGCCCGAAATGTACTTACTTTGAAGGCGGACCAATTCAAGATTGATTGGTTGAGAAGTTACTCAACATCTCCTCCACCTTTTCCCAACCCTGTGTCTAATGTGCTTCAATTTCCTTTAGTGGAACAAAGTAATTAATTAATTTGCCAACTTCCACTTTAACAAAGTTGACGAGATTACTGGTCACTAGCACCGACTTATAGAAGCTGGATTACGAACTCATCCACCGCCACTTTTACTATTGCATTTTCCCTCATCAAAAATCTTCATTGATTTCTTTTAAAATGTCATGGATTTTCTTATACTGATTTCTCTTTAAATCCGCAATATTTCCTTAGTCATCTAATGCACTTGTGACCGACCAGCCAATCGGAATCCGTTCAAGTTGCCAAGCAAACGTACCGGATTAGACATGTTATTCATACGAAGCTTGTGAAAATCTTAATCCCTTCGATTAAGCCAAGCTAGCAGCAACACAAATAAATGAAGAAGTCCAATGGGGTACAACGACTTGTGCATGAAGAAACGAAACAACCAAAGAGCACCATGACCGTCAGACCGCCAAGACAAATCCAAGTTAAGAACGCTTAAAAAATCAAGTAAAACGAGATTCTATGAAAAGTCAATGAAATGCAAGTGAGAATGAAAATAGGGGTAGACATAATGACGGACTGACTAACAAGTGAACGCATATCACCGTTCGAGCCCACAAGGTGGGCTTAAACCCTTAGCCAACGGTTAATTAGCAATGTACACACAGATAGCCAACAATAAAAGTCTCAAAATCTAGAGCTCACACACATACTCACAATGGTTTGCCATATATGCACACAGACACTCTCAAAAGCTTAAGGAAACCCTAGAGGTATTTGCACTCAGCTAAGCCAAACCAAGCCAATCGATGAAGAAATGTTCGGCCATATTTAAATAATGCAGCAGACAAAAAAGAAAAAGATTTATTTTTAGTTAAGAGGAAATTCCATGGTTTTCTGCCATCCCTGGAGAGTTCTGAGTAAGCTCTTTACCAGCTCTTTTTGGGGCGATCAAACTTTTTCTTATTCGGATCATCTATGGTCGCTGTGAATTCCTTCAAGATATCGCCATCAGTGCGTATGGTCTCGTCGATGTGAAAATAAGGACCCCTAACACCTGCAAAGTACAAACATACGGTTAACCCTTCCGAAATGGCACTGTGCAAATACTTACAGCCCATCGGTGATATTACCGGTCCACCAGAGACCTGCGGCACACCAGTCCTTGCAAAGGACGTCCACAAGTACACCATCTTTTTCGCCACCTCAGTGTCTTTGGTATTTAATGGCGGCTTCATGGCGAAAAGATAAATCAGCTCGTCAGTGTGATGAACGCCGCCGTTAAAAGGATATTGAGCATTGCCCGAATCAAACCCGTAATTGGTCTTCTCGCCTGCGTAGTCAAATGTGTAAAAGTAGATGGGCGGATGGCTGGCTTTGTCAAAGAGTCTGTTTGTGAAGCCCAGCATTGGCGATTTGAAGAAGAGTATGTTGACGAGCTGTTTTTGTGCAATTAAATCATAAATAACCCCAACAACAGGGAACATATATCCATACTCACATCAAAGTAGGCAGGCAAAGCTCGTCTGTGGTCGAAACTATGCCAAAGTTCTGCTGGAAATAATAGTCGCTCCATTGCATTGTTCGTCAATCCGGTGGTATCGTTCAGCCAACTCATGATGGCAGTGGCGAATTCGGCAACGGTAACGGCGTTCATGTTGGGATGTGTGGCTTTGAAGTCCTCGTAGAGTACTTCGTAGCGAAGAAAAATAATTAATACTATAAAATTTCAATAAAATAAAAAAAAGCAAAAATACTAACTGGCCAATGCTATCACACCATCGTGTTTTGTAAAACCGGTCATTATAGGAGTGCTAATCTCTGCCCTGTCCATGAGCTTGGCCGGATGCTCAGGCAATGCGCCATAGTAATCGCCAATAACCATGCCATAGCGTTCCTTTTGTTGCAAGTTGGCATCACAGACGAATGAAAAAAATTACAGCATAGTTTTATGGTTAAAAAACCGCACACTTACAGTCTCCGCTGCCTTGAGTAAGTCCAATACAGATGCGCCCTTCAAACAGTTCTCCATTTTGGCAATATCCTCACAGTGCGTACACTTTAAAGCGCGACACACGCGTTCCACCTGCGCCAGTGGTTCCAGATTTACAGCACCTTTATCCACTATAGAACCAGATTGTATGATGGCACGTTTAATGGCAGCTGGTGGTGTTTTAGGACTGATTAGTAATGCCCCAGTTAGTTCAGCACCCGAGCTTTCGCCGAACACAGTTATCTCCGACTTATCACCACCAAAAGCAGCGATATGCTCATGCACCCATTGCAAAGCCAGTAGCGTATCTAAGAGTCCAAAGTTGCCGGACATTTCTGGTGTATTTGTGCCCGAAAAGCCGAGTATACCCAGACGGTATTGTATCACCACCAATACGACATCCTCCTCAAGCAAATAACCAGCTTTGTGATCACTAGCGAAACCGACCTGCAAGCTGCCGCCATGGATATAGAACATCACAGGTTGCTTGCCGCTTAGCTGGCAAGTTATACCAATTCAAAGAATGTTCTTCAAGTATTTAAATAACTCACTTACCTTTTTGGTGAAAATGTTCAAAGTGAGACAGTCTTCAAGATCACCTCTGAGTTTATCCGGCGACAAACGATTGTATGTGAATAATTGTGGGCAAATTCGGCCATAGTCGGTGGCTTGAAGCGGCGCCGACCAGGATTTTCTTGGTATCGGTGGCTAATTCGTAATTATAGAGGAAAAATAAATGCGCAGTTTATTCAAGAGCCTACGTCTCACGCATGTGGGGAGCCATAGTTCCCTTACCTTAAAACGCAGCTCTCCACTCGGCGACTCAGCATAAGGAATACCACGGAACTGCATATAAGTTTGACCCGTCCATAATGTCGTATTTGTATTACCAATCACCACGCCCTGACCCGCCAAACTGACTCTAACATCTGAAGGCACTACATTCTTTGGGCCATAAGCCCGACCGACAGGAAAATGCACAAGGCAAAGTATGCCCAACAATGCAATATAAGCAGCCATACCGACTCCGGCGATCATCAATAAACAACTGATTGACTTCAAAATAATATTGTAATACTAATATGTGTTTTCAAGTTGAGTCTCTGTTGATATATGTACATAGATAAGTTAGTCTCTGCGATGTCAAACGGCCGTGTATGTGCATATATATAAGATAATATATTATATGCAACTGCCAACCTGACGGAAGCGATCAAACGCGTGGCTAACAATCGATTAGTTCTAAGTTCGGTATTCAAGCTTAAGACAAATCTGGGTTTTGCTGAAAAGACTGCGCTGGATAAATGTCTTTTGACAACTCCTCCAGTAAAATCGTTAATATAACAACCATCAATCAATGCGGGGCCGCTCGGCACTGTACCACGGCAACTGGTAATTGAACCTCGGCCAAATTTCTGTCTGGGTAATAATATGCAAGCTCTGTATTGCTGAGAGCATTCATACATAGATATTCACGATTACTTGGAATACAGATTATGCGGGGACTTTTCCACAAGCGAAGCTCTTTTAAACCGCAGTGATTGCGAATTGATTGGAAGAAAACGAAAGCATAATACTTTATTTACAAATATTGTAACTGCAAAAAAAAAATTAAAATAACAATTAGAGCTTTCGCAGAAACAAGCGTCTTTAATTTTTAAGCCAGTGCGGGCATAATTTGTAAAGGGTAGAGAGGTCTAAAGTTATATACATACATATATATTCCGGTCATACATATGTATGTGTAATAGATAAGATCCAACCTACACTGCAGAGCATCTTGTGTAGAAGTTCAATGCAAAGCTCTGTGGAAGATACATATGTTCAGGGGGTAGATTCACTCTGTCGCAGGCCTGAGAGGACTGTGTGGTAGAACTAAGGTGTCATTAAAAATAGAAAACTATGGAGCTTCCAAAATATATCGTTATAATTTGAAATTAATACAAAACGTGCAGTTTATACAAGATTTGTCCCATGAAAAACGATACTGTGCAGTAACAAAGGTAAAAATCATACATTTTATCAAGTTGAATCGAGGAGAGAGTGCATTTCAACTGTGGTAACATTTAATATAATTTAAATAAAACACTCTTGGGGCCATTTTTTCGGGCGCCTGTTAAAATTTAACTTTACAAACAGAAAACTGATTTTTTACAAATTTACTTATTTTATTTTGTCATAAGATATAAAAATAATGGAAGATAGGCGGGTATTTTTCATTCATGAACTTAAGGAAAGGTTTGAACAGAGAACGTATTTACGTAAATACGTTCTCTGGTTGGAAGAAGCCTCTGTGACCCATATGGCTGAACGAAATTTAATTTATTAACGTTTAGAACAGCAACACTGCCACCTTTTGTATAATATTAAATAAGCATTTAACAGGAGATCGAGAAAATTAAAATGAATTTATCGTATCGTTAAATTTAACTACCAGTTTCGTCATCCTCACATTAGCAATCACTGAGAAAAATGACCCCTTCTAATTGAAAAAAATAACTTTTGAGAATAGTTCTGAATTTGGTTATTCATTTTAAGCAGTCTCACTTTTTTGTGACCGCTAATTATATTCCTTTCTTCTTTGATTTAAATTGAAATCACGACGCCAAAAGGTATGCAACGGAAAACAAACATTTTACTTTGTCCTATTTTCAAATTCCTTAATCTCATAACAAGTGGCAGCACTGTAGTTAGCAGAGGTCTGTTCGCTTATTTCCATTTTACTAGATTATTTTTAGGTACAATTACGTACATTATATACAAATGATTGCCAAAGAAGCTGTCAATTAAAAGGTTAACCAAATGCTCTTTTATGTAAAAATGTTATTGATTCTTCTTTGAATAATATCTGTATTTGTATTATTAAATTATTGAAAAACAAGCATGTTTTAGTGCCTAAAAATCTAAATTGTTCATTTTTTCATTAAAAGCACTTACGACGACATTAAATAGAATCCACCTTTACCCCAATTCAATATTGAGATTTCTGCGCTGTGAGCCGAAAATACCTAAAACTTGATAAGGCTTATCGAAATGCTTTCAACAAATTCGTCTCCTGCCTTTTACTGAATTTCTTGTAAGTTTTTTGCAGTGAAAGTGCACGAACGTACCTGTGATTTTTATTATTATTATTCTTATCTTAGAACTGACATTTATACTAGTATGTGTTATTTTCTTTTTGGGTGTTCTTTTCTTGGCTAATCTCTAATGAATATTTAGTTTTTACGGCCTATTGCAAATGTAATTTAAAAATATATAATACGGAAATTCACGAAATTCGCGAGAACATAAGCAAGTATTTGAAATTCATATTGTATATACACTCATGTGTATGCAAATAACGCTTTGGTGAATACAGTGACGTTACGGAGCTAAAATGCGATTGCACTTTGCTTTGATTTTATTGCTTTCGGCCGGCGCCACGCTGTCGAATTCCAGCAATTCGAACTCCTCACTTGCACAACTGGAGCACAGCCTCATCGATAAGCCTGAATGCAAAGAATTACGCTCGCTCTGTGCACACCTTAAACAAACTGACAATGTCTCGGTACTGGAATGTGTCAGTACCTTTTCGTCCAGTCAGCTGGAGGCAGTGCCCGATAAATGTCAGCATGCCTTATGGATGCAGCAGCGTGCAATGCAAACTGAAAAGTGGATATCCCAGCAATTGGTGCCACAACATTGCAGCGCACAGCAACAGCAGCTGACATCCTGCGGTAATGCGGTGAGTCTGTGGAGCTGTATACATGAGCGTGCCATACGTATGGAGCATAGTAGCGAATGCCGTGCTTACATTTTGCGTGCAATTGCGACACTGTTTCCAGACTTTGATCAATTGGGCGATTTTTTAAATAATTGCGGCGCTCAAATTGAGCAACTAGAATGCGGCCGACTTAACTTAGAACGCAGGAGCATGTCACAAATTGAGACAGTGCAGTGTTTGCAAGAGACTGCCGCCGATTCATTGGAGGCGAAATGTAAGTCTGAATTAACAGCAATGGAACATCAGAGAAAGGATTTAGAATTCTTTGAAGCTTGTGGTGACGATTGGAGACGACTGTGTGGGCAAGTGAGTATATGAATATTATGTGCACAATATATAATAAAACAGCTCTTCCAAGTACTTTTGTGTGCGTTTATTTAAATAATTTATTTGTAGCAATGTTATTTATACAAATACAAATCTCATACATATTTACGTCTCTCTGTATGTAGGAAAATGCCGGTACAGCCGCCGCATTCAAGTGCTTAGTCAAAAATAAAGCTGATCCAACAATGACACGTCGCTGCAACGAAAAAATTGCACAACGAGACCGCGAAATCGGCAAAGATTATCGGCTTTCCCACGGGCTTGCTAAAGCTTGCAAGGATGATATAAAACAATATCATTGCCGACGTGGCGTGTCTGAAGACAAACAAGTGCGTTTGGCACAAATTTTACTTTGCCTTGAATCAGTTGTTAAGAATGGCTCCGTAGTCTCAACAGAGTGTCAGACCGAAATAAACGATCACCGTCGTATGTTGATGCATGACTTTAAATTGTCTCCAGAAATCCTTAGCGACTGCTCCGATGATATTCCAAAGTTTTGTGGAGACATTGAAAAAAGTCAAGTTGTCAGAGGTGGAGCTTTGGGCAATACTGACAATGGACAAATAATTCACTGCCTCATGGAGCATGCGCGGTCGAAACGTAGGAAGGACCGACGTGTTACAGCGCAATGTCAGCGATCGCTGGAAAAGTTAATAAAAGCAGCCGACGTGGGCGAAGACTGGCGCGTGGATCCAGTGCTACGACGGGCTTGTAAACCGGTTGTCGATGTAGCGTGTCGCGACACCGACGCTGGCGAAGCACGTGTGATGTCTTGCCTCATGGAACGTATTGGCACGCCGATAATGAGACCAGATTGCGAACAAGCGCTGATGCTGATACAGTACTTTGTGGCACGTGACTTCAAACTAGATCCACAGCTTTATAAGCATTGTCACGACGATGCTATTAAGTATTGTCGTGCTAAACACGTATGGGATGATGCTAACGATGTACAAATGGATCCCGAGCGGGGGCCACTCATACTACCTTGCCTGCATCGTATCGCCTACAGTGATGACGATAACTTGGCGTTACGAAAGGACTGCTTCAAAGAGGTCAAACGAGTGATGCGCCAGCGGGCTGTATCTGTCGACCTCATTCCGGAAGTTGAAGATGAGTGCATCGAGGACTTGTCCATATACTGCTACGACCGCACACAGAAGGGTGCTGAAATGGATTGTTTGCAGACAAATCTTGAGAAACTCACACCAACGTGTAAAGTAAGTAGTTATGTGATGAGCTTGTTTCAACTTTTTTTTTAATATTTTATTGTATTTTCAGAAAGCGGTTACTACCTACACCGAAGAAGAGGCTGAACACATTGAACTGAATCCAGTTATAATGTCTGTGTGCATCAATGCCATGCAGACGCATTGCGAACATATACTGAAAGGGGAAAAGGATAAAGGCGACATGATGGATTGTCTCATTGCGCATAAAAATGATGCAGATCTGAGGCAAGATCTTAAATGTCGGGCGGCTATTGAGCATTTTCAAATTATCTCCTTGAAAAATTATCATTTTACATATAAATTCAAAACGGCGTGTCGTCCACATGTCACGCGCTTCTGTGCTTCGAGCACAACCAAAAATGACGTCGTAGCATGTCTGAGCGAAGTAATGCGTAATGACACCATACGCGGTCAGCGGCATTCAATACCCAAAGAGTGTCGCCAACAGGTTAAAGCACAGCTTTACCAACAACGCGAATCTATATTGCTTGATCCGAAATTGGCAAATGCATGCAAAAAAGAGCTGGAGACATTTTGTGGTGGGGAAAAAGGGCCTGGCCAGGTGAATAAGAATGCAAGTTTCATTTTTCAATCGCTTAATCACTACACATTCACACTTTTTATAAAGATTATGTAAACACACACAAGAGAACATATTTACTTACGTATATCGTTTCATTAAAATCCTTATTCTACTTTCACCACTTTACAGGCTGTGGAGTGTCTTCAAGAAAACACGCAGCGTCTTGGCAGCTCCTGTCATCATGCAATTTTCCTAGTGAAGCGTTCTCAGCTCACTGACAGCGGGACTGATTATACCCTGGTGAATACTTGCAAAGAAATGACCTATCGATTTTGTAACAATGTAGATTCTGATCACCTGCTGGATTGCCTCAAAACATACAAGGATGATCCTCTCTTCGATCAACGCTGTCACTTGGTGGTCGTGAACCGCATGATTGAGCAAAACACTGACTACCGCTTTAATCCGTCCTTACAGCTGGCGTGTGGTAAGAACATAGATCGGTATTGCTCTCATATTGTCGCCACCGCACAGCCGAATGAGGAACTAAATGGTTTGGTAAATATTTGGGAACTTCTGTTAAATCATCTATCGGTATCATAGGTAAATTTCGAATGTATTTCAGGTTATACAATGTTTAAAAGATAAATTTCGCCAATCACGCTTGGATTATAATTGCACGCAAGAGATGATTAAGGTATTACAAGAACAAGCCTTGAACTATAGACTGAATCCACTGTTGCAGAATTTCTGCAAGTCTGAAATTGAAGTGCTTTGCAAAGCGAGTCTCGATAACAGAGAGCATGGTATGGTCGAAGAGTGTCTGAAAACGGCTTTCTTGAATCACAAAATTATTAATCGGGATTGTCGCGTTGAAGTAGCAACACTGATAGCTGAGGCCAAGGCCGACATACATGTCGACCCCATACTACAGGAGGCTTGTACCGTAGATTTACTGCGTTATTGTTCCAATGTACCAAGTGGAAATGGAAGAAGTGAGTTTAAGCCTAGAACATACGTCCTACGAATAATCATATGTTTTCATTATATTATCTTGGTTTAATAGAACTAAAGTGTTTGCAAGTACTGCTGAAAGATCAGTCGAAGGCCATGGAGGAGGATTGCCGCATGAAACTACAGAAGCGTATTGAAATGTTCCGTAACGCAGACACGGTAAGCCGCCAACGAGATTTATTTCTACAGTTTGGGCTTGAAATTCCCTTTTTTCTAATTTTCTAGGTACTGGCTGAGCCGCCAGAAAATATGGAACAATTAGTTAATCAAGTTGTTTCGTCACCAGCAAAAAGGTTCTTCTTAATTATATTTATGTCCGCTGTAGGAATGATCTTCATGATGGGCATCTTCCTCGGTCGTATAAGTAAACGTGCAATCAATATTAAAAATAAATAAACTGTCCAGTAGAACAAACAAGAAAATTTTAACAAAAGCAACAAATTCCCTTCCACTTTCCTTCCATTCCTTCGAACAATGTATAAAAATATAATTTTTCAGTTTTTCACAATCGAGTGCTTAATGTATAAATATCATAAAAATACCTCCTTACAAAGATTTATTATTGCAGCCTCAAAATATTTTCATGCATTACATCCCTTTCCTTATCAAACAAATATCGTTTCTTTTCAGGACTTTTTTGTTTTTTATATTTAGTGGTATTGAAAACGAGTATGTAACTTTAATTTAGATTGTTGCTCTAAAAAATGTGAATCCCCCTTTAGTTATTATAATTGTAAAAAATATTCTTATATATTTTTTACAGTTTGCAAAAATAAAATGTAGAATATATTGTTAAATGTGCTTAGAATAATAGACTATGGTAAAAAATTGGCAAAGTCAACGCTTTATAATAATAAAAACTTTTTTATGAATTTAAAATGACTTTGTTAATAATCACTGAGGGGCAAGAAATGTGAGATTATGTTTATACAAGATATTTTCATCATGATTTCATACTCTAATTTCGCGAGAAAGCGACTCATAATAAGATCGTGATATCGCAAATCTTCTCTGAATCAGTTGGATCATCATTATTTCAATCCCAATTCAATGAGGAATCAACCAATCAACGTCCAATTCGAAAACTTATTGTTTGGTAAAATATGGTAGCACTAAAGCAAATTTGACATTTGACAAACAAACAATTCCTGACAATTCTAATTTTCAGAGAACGTATATGTATGTTATACGTTCTCTGTAATTTTTAGCCCCTATTTGATTTTCATTTTCACTTTGACTTCCCTCTTCGTGGTACTGTTTTGTGGTAATTTTAATAGTTCGGTTGAGATTGTGGCTTAAATTAAACTATAGTTCGGTGAAACTATTGAAATATTAACTAGCATACAAAATCTTCGAACTTTTTTTTAACAAACGCAGAGAATTGACTGATTTTATTAAAGGTAAAAGGGGTATTAAGCGTTGATCGAAGTTCAATTAGCTAAAAGAAAAAAAACGAGGGCAAAAAAAAAAAGGTTGCGAAAATAACAATTTCGGTTGCTCAAGCAAAAGAGGTGTTGCACCTATATTTGGGGCGAAAACTTATCTCCGCATCTTAAGCATCATTAGGTAGCGGTAAGCTCATTTATAGAAATGGGCTACGACTTACATCGTTTTCAAGGTGAAGTGGATGAGGAGCTCACCTGCCCCATATGTTCCGGTGTACTTGAAGAGCCACTACAGGTGAGTTACTACAGTGCAAAGTAAATCAGAAGTTTTGAAAGGAAATCATATTTGCGTGTGACAATTATAGATTCTTGTTTATTATAAAAATTAATTTCTCTTCGCAGGCTGCAATGTGTGAACACGCCTTTTGCCGTGCGTGCATCACCGAGTGGCTCACTCGTCAACCCACCTGCCCAGTAGACCGCAACACATTAAACACAGCAAATTTGCGCGCTGTACCGCGTATACTTCGCAATCTGCTTTCACGGTAAGTGCTAAATCTGCCACCGAAAGTAAAATTTGGTATTTCTCACAAAAATATTGTATGCTTTCGCCAAATGTATAGACTTTCCATTGCTTGCGAAAATGCACCATACGGATGTACACTCGTACTCAAGCTGGATGCGCTAAATTCACATTTAGAAGAATGTGAGCACAATCCAAAACGTCCATTACCATGCGAAAAAGGCTGCGGTTTTGTCATACCCAAAGATGAACTAAAGGATCATAATTGTTTGCGGGAGTTACGCTCAATGATACATCAACAGCAATTGAAAATGGGAGAGCTAAAGACAGAGATTGCTGACCAAAATTTGGCCATCAACGAGCTAAAGCGTGAATTGCAACTTTTTAAAGACTTTATGCGTGCGATGCGTGTTTCAAATCCAGCCATGCGTGCCATCGCCGATCAGATGGAACGAGATGAAGTTATACGCTGGAGTTCGACACTATCACGTGCACGTGTCACACGATGGGGTGGCATGATCTCTACTCCGGATGATGCACTACAGGTAAGTTCTATATAGTTTACTAATAGTTACAGAAAAGTATTAATATTTATAACAAGCCAGAATAATTGTGATATATATATTTATATATAGCTCTCCTTACGTAATGTTTTTCCCCCCTCTACAACAGATGATGATTAAACGTGCTCTATCGGAATCAGGCTGTCCACCACACATTTTAGATAATCTTATGGAGAATTGCCACGAAAGACGTTGGCCTCGCGGTTTGAGTTCACTAGAGACGCGACAGAATAATAGGCGCATTTATGATAACTATGTTTGCCGACGTATACCAGGTACAAGCATATTCATACTAGATTATTAAATTTTATTGTAATACTCATTTTTATAAAAACATTTAGGCAAACAAGCTGTATTAGTCCTAAGCTGTGATAATGCTCACATGTCTGAGGATGTAATGGTCGAACCAGGTTTGGTGATGATTTTTGCTCACGGCATAGAATGAATGCCGGCACATTTTTACATATATGTACACACAATATAACAAATGGATAATTAGAAAAGAAAAATTAACTGCGAGTAATAAATAAATATATATTTCGAAACTATGCGTTCATACAGCGATTGTATAACAAACATACAAACATATGCACGGAGATAAAATAACCAACTGAGTCAACGCAGTAATTAAAAAAAGATTAATTCAATTAAAGGACTACTATACTGTGCGAGATACAATGGGACATTAGCAAAATTTTAAGTATTAAAAAACCAAATCTTTAGCGAACTCTGGACTTGTAGAAATTTACCAATTCGTGGACACAATTATTTTTGAGACTTCCCAACTTTTGAAATATTTTAGTTTTTATAATTTATTAGATGTACAAATATTCGAAATGCACTGAGATTAACTGCTATTACATCTGTACAGTTGTAGGTTTGAAATTACTAACGTTCATTGTTTTATTAGTTAAGTTATGGTAAAAGTATTTGGTAGAAAGATAATAAAAGGGATTATCATTTGTTACGTACAGAATCTATGTTCTAAATAAAATTCTTTGTCATCAATATTCATCACATACACTTCCATCACATACAAACATATGTTTCATATTAAAATTTCCATCAAATCATGAATGGCTCAGCAAACTGTAGAGTTGTCGCCATTTTCTCTGTTATTTAAATTAGAAAGTAAAAATTTCATAAAAAATACATATTTGTAACAGCACATTAGATTTGTTGTAGTCTAATCTAAGCGATCTCAGACAGGAAATGAAATTTGTGTTAATAAGTAATAATAAAATAAATAATAATAATAATGATGAATTGCCATCTTGTCTAAAATAAATCCATGTAGACTCACATATAACACAATACACGGTAGATACATATATACATAAATACGCGAATAAATTGGGAAACTTCTAATGGCGTTAGTTTATTAATTAAACAAAAAATATTTCAAATCGCTCTTGCTCATATAAATATACATATTGAAGATTAGCAATTGTTAAATATACGTACACGTATGTACGCGAAAACTCTTTGGCATTGTATGTGTGTAATTAAAAGTATGAATTTTTTTCAGCCAGTAAAGAAAATGAAAATAAGCTTATTTTGGTTTGTTGATAAATTAAGTATGTATGTACATATATGATAAGTACAATCAATTACAACAACAACGCTAGATGTAATTATGTATGTAATGTCAACAATTGCAATGTTTTCGAATTTCTGTGGCTTAGTTATATACGTATAAGCATTCAAAAAAAAAAATATCATTCGCATAACAAAGCCACACAGTTTTTGCTCTTATTAAATAAATTAATATTTGAAAATGATCATTCTTAATAAAGAAACTCAAACAAAATCACGGTGTTATTCAATTTAATTATATTTTGCATAAAACTTAACACACACACACACACATATATATATATATATATATATATATATATATATATATATATATATGCGCAAGATGTAATATTTATTTAAATTTAACGGTTCAAGTTGTATTTGTATTTCCCTAAATGAGGAAGAGAACATCTCTTATTGCGTTCTTAATGTGCGCTCTTACTTTTGAAAACTTCAAGCTCTTCTCAAGCCATCAGCTATTCGGTATGCCAATCACATGTTTGCAGTATGAACATACATGCATGCGTCTCTACGTATATATTGTATATATGTATGTATAGAGTTGGATAGGTTTGTATTTGGCTTATGCTTGCCTTACTTTAACACTTTAGGAAACCCAAAAACTTGTTTTCTTCCTCAATAACTGTTGGAAACTTGTTTATTAAATCCAAGTCGCTCAATCCATTTATATACGTACAAACACACACACTCACACATGTATATGTTACCCTTGTGATGCTGTGAAGTTTTATATCCGGCTGTACTGTCTGCACTGGTATTTCAGTTTTATTCGGCTATAGATATAAAATATATGTATGATATATGAATGTATAACTAATATATGAGCTTTTTCTTATATTTATTCAAAATAGAAGATCGACTATCGCTTATGAAAGAGCCAACGTTTTGAGAGCATTTATTTCTTAAAAAATTTTCAAATTAATTTTATGTTCTCCCTTATGCGAAAAGCATATTATCTTAAGTTCGGTTCCAATCGAACGCAGCTCTTCCTCTTTAGTTAGCTCGCTCTTTGGCTTTCTCGTGAAAGCTATTGTTGAGATCTACCTAATCGACTGTTTATTTGCTCTAGCATGAATTACGCCTCTGGTCTTCCCCCAGCTGTTGGACCAGTTTGTAAATTAAACAAACATATGACGGTTGTCTGTACACTTATTTGGATGTGTAAAGACCGGCTGGACATCAAAGTATTTGAAAAACGTAATTTTTGAAATTATAATGTTGATCGAATCCAATTTTCATACACTTTTTAAGCATATACTATTTCTGAATTCTTCATTGTATAATTTTGGGCTTATGAAAGAGCTGAATTTAAAAAACAAAACATTTTCAAATATAAAGCCAATCAACTTGAATTTTATAGCACCTTAAACGCTTTCTGCGTCACTCGTTGGCTACTTTTGCTTAGGCACTCGGTGCTTAGCTTAGGCGGCAAGTAGAAAAAGCGAGAGTTTTCATTGGCTCAGCCGTTGACTCAGTCTATAGTCTGCGTTCGAACAGCGCTAAGTGAAGATCAGCTTTTCAGTCAGCTAAGAAAGTGTACTTTAAGTGATTATAAATAATAAAAATGCGTTTCCTCATTTCAACCGCGGCTGCAATACTGCTCACAGCGTACGTCAGCGCTTCCAGCTTAAGTGTAGTAAGCGAGGATAATGTACCTAGTGCACCGTTACGTGAGCAGTTAGCAAATGATTTTTTTTCGAGTTCTTAAACCATGTTTTCTTTTTCTCCCCTACAGCTGCCAGTGGTGCTGCCGTCGACGAAGTTGTCGTACACTCTTCGCTCTATATCAAACCAAAAGCCAATTTGAGACCACAGGTTCGGCGTGTGCGCAGCTTGCCCTTCGCTATGCCGCTGAACAGCGTCTCTTTGCTGGAGCATGTGCGTGTCAAACGTATGCCTCAATATAAGCGATTCGGTCCACAGTATGGTCAATCGCAGGCAAACGCTGCAGCTGATGCTAACAGTATCCAATTCGGCCCCCAAGGCGCAAGCTCAGCCGCTTCAAATGCGGGCTCGCAGGCATTCAACGCGTTCGGTCCGAACGGCTCGTTTGGCGCATCCTCAGCGGGTACTCTGACACAAGCCTCGCAGTCTGGCTTGTTTGGATCTTCGAACTCTGCAGGTGCCTCAATGAGCCAGGTGTTTAGGCTGCCCAATGGGCAAGTGATCAATTTTGCCAGCACAAATAGTTTTTCTAATGCGCCGAACGGTAATAATGCCAACAGTCGTGGTTCGTCGGTATCTGTGGGACAGGCTTAGTCGTTCGCATGTCTGTGTGCTGACTACAAATTATATTTAAATCTAATAATAATTAATGTGCGCAATTATACATTGTTAGCCTTTGGCGATTTTGAATTGGACTTTTGCCAACAAATTCTATATACAAAGCTCAGCCATAATTTCAAAATAATTGTCATTGCAAAAGGAAATAAAAAAATTAGTATTGCTTCTGTCGCTAATTTGAAAAACAGGATTTTTAATTTAATTTTGTACCGTTACCTCTTAATTATGAATAACAAAAATAAACAACGAAGATATTGTTTGTTTTTCTTTCGTTTATTGCCAACACGCTTACACATCAAAATGCAAATTTATGCTGAAATACACGGACGCTAAGGTAAGTTTAAAAAATTCATGTATTAGATAATTTTCGTTTCCTATTGTGAATGATTAATTTAATCCGATTCACTTTCGCTCTCCGACTGGAAGTCACCCACTTCAATGGAGAATTTGTACTCCTGATCGCAGCCCAAATACGAGTCGCTCATATAGTACAGCGTGTATTCATGTCGGCCAGGGCTGGGCGCTACAAAGTCCAATTTTATTTTAGCTTTCTGCTGTAGCGTCAGACGTTTGATTGAAAGTAGAGAATTAGTTTTTGGATCACCAATAACGACCCACCAACCTTCTTCGCGTTTCTATAAAAAGTACAAAAAAAGAAAGTCTGTAAAATTTTATATTATATAAAAAATCCGTACTCCCCGCGTACCTGTGGGAAGAACGGCGCTATAACTGGCCCGGTGACTTCATCTTCACGCTCCAACTGCACAACGACATTCACTGTCGACCCGGAATTGATCCGATCCTTGTCCAACACTTCAAAGTTCATTTCGATATTTGGGTAACGGTTACAGAAACGTGCCACGTCGGCCATTTGTGCGTCGGTTAATTGCAAGAGACGTGTGCGATCATCATCCTCCAGCTCCATGATATCGAAAACTGTTTCGATTTTCTATAAAATAAGATGTCCGGAATATTAATATTTATAAATGAAAATAATGGAAGTTAACTACCTTCTCTGTGCAACGCTTGATTATTTCGGCTGTGAAGTGTGGCAACTGTTTTAGGTACGAGTCCTTGCTCCACATAGCCTGTGTCACCATCTGCGCCAACTCCATAGCAGCTACAGCTGGCGAGAGCCAGCCATTCGAACTCAGCACATCGACACAGGCTTGAATGAGACGTATAGCTTTACCTAAAATCAATTCTGTGTCACCCTGTAATTCCGGCCCCAACTGAAGACGCGATAGATGCGCTTGCAGTAGTAAATTTGTCTTGATGTGTGGATCATTGAATCTGGTACGGAAGAAAATTAATAGAAATTAGCAGTTTCTCCGCCTTAAAAAGATGTAAAACAAGTTAGGAAAATATAGCACAATGGGATTAATCAATGTGTAAATGCCATGGTTCCAACAAATCGTTCACAACACCGGCAGATTCGGATCAGAGAGGAGGTATAAGATAAATTGGGTTTAAGAAAGGGATACTGCAGGCAGGAAAAACTATTGTGCTCATTGCGCTCAGAGGGGATTCATACTGTTATACTACTTTACGGCTCATTTGGGAATCAAACTTACTTTGGCGCCGTGTCATTGGGACCGGTCAATTTGTTCGGTAAACGTTGCGAAAGTGTGCGTAAAATGTTTTCTTCGTGATGGCGCACCACAATGTCTTCATATTCTGCTGCCGACGATATGATCTCGAGCAAGCCTCGAACTTTAGTTTTGCTGTTCAACGACAAACTGAAGAGTTCTGAAATTTAAGAAGATTTATAAATAAATGAGATTTGAAACATTCCGCTCAACCACTTACCAATTGTTGTGTAATTAATATAATAATAAGCAGCAATCATGCCCAAGTTTAAGGGAAGCGTATCCATGTCATCTTCAATGCTGATGCACTTCGATTGCTCCAAATCGGATAGCGTGTTTTCGACTAGCTCGGACAAGTGGTCGGAGAGGTGGCGATGTGTGACGCCCTGCAAGTTGTAGTAGTTCGGATTCTGCGTCAGCCGCCTGTATAAGAATGTCCAAGTTAAATAATCAACCGCATCCTGTTTGTTCTCTATGGTCTTTGTGACCACTTCCACATTGAAGTGATCGTGTAGGCGATGATCCAAGTGACTTTCTATGGGCAAAGGCTCATTTATGAACTTCTTAAAGAAGTCCTTTTTAGACGACTGACACATTAGTACACATTTAGCATCCGCGTCCTCAATTGGACGATTAGCACGTCCGATCATTTGCAGGACATCAGTTATGGGGTAATCTTCGTACGAGTGATTTTTACCATTGTAGAATTGTGTGTCCATAATGATAACCAAATGTGCTGAAATGCTCATACCCCAGCAGAGATCTCGCGCCACTACGGCCACCTGTACCGCTCCGGAATCGAATAACTGCTCGACGAGGCGATGATCGGAGGCGGTGAGGCCCTCATGGATGTAGGCCACGCCTTGCGATAGGGTTTCTTTTAAAGTCTTGTCCGACATGCGGTCAAGGAAGGGTTTGATGTCCTCCTCCTCGGCATGGAAAAAGCGATTGGGCTGCATATCTGATGCGCTGTACGTTAATATGTCGATAGCGGTGAGACGCGCCTGCTTGCGAGAAGATACAAACACGATTACGGGCTTGTGTGGACTGTACTTAATGATTGCGTTATAAACAGGCTTCGACATGGAGGCAATACGTGTGGCATTGTGTGTAATGCTGTAACCTTGAATGTGCAACTCGAGAGGAATCGGACGTACGCTCGGGTGGAAATTAAATGTAGCGTTGGCATTGCAGCCGAGCCATTGTGCGACATCACGCGCATCGGCCAAAGAAGACGATAGAGCCACTATGCGAATCTGTTTTTCAATTTGAGACGAGATGTAGCGCATACGCGAGCAAACCACCTCCAACACAGGACCGTCTTCTCCACCTACCAATTGGAGCTCATCGACAATGAAAAGATTAATAGCCTGCACGTTTTTACGTTGTTTCCAACGACGCGAGAGTACATCCCATTTGTCAGCGGTAGTAACAATAATCTGACCCTTGGCTAGAAGTTTCAGATCAGTGCCGGTTTCGCCTGTCAATTTCACGACTTTGAGTGAAAGACCACCGAACTTTGCGTGCCAATCGGCGAATACAAGATCGGCGAGCGCTTCTTTGGAGACTAAATAGACACAGCGGCCCTCTGCTTGCTGTGAGAAGAGACGCATAATAGCGAACTCCGCGATGGTCATTTTGCCGGATCCTGTGGGGGCCCCCACAAACACATTGTCATCACTATTGTAGACCGCATTAAAGACCTGGGTCTGTATGGGATTGAACTGTGGGAAACGTTCGACATAAAATTCCTCAAATTTGGGTTTACGCAGCGCGGAGATGGGTAAGGGCTGTAAATCAAGCAGCTCTGTGGGTGGCATATTTTTCTCTGGCAATATCAAATGCCTGAAGGAGACTGGTAACTGTGTCTCCGAACCGATCCAGCGATCAGAGACGATGCGTAAGAAATATTGTGGCGGAAGCGGTTCGAAGACGGGCACGAAAAACTTTATTTGATGTTCATCCTGCGAGTATTTCTCCTTCAACAAAAAGAATTCGTGGTGTAAGATCACCTCCGAGTCAACATCTTCGATGAGTATCCAGAAGCCTTCAGAGAGGCCATGCACCTTCTCGTCCCATTGAAAGTCCGGCGTGATTGTGAGCTCAACACGCAAAGTGGCACGCGTAATCGGTTGTATATGAGTTGAAAGCTCCAGTTTCGGGAATTGGTGCACGAATTTGTGTATAGTCTTACCCAACTTCGGTACGCGTATCAACTCACCGATCTCATTGGGCTCTAAATCATACAGGCGTTCCCAAGGAAAGTTCTTCTTCTCTAATTTCTTAGCAATCTCATCCGGCATTTTCTTGAATTGGCGTAGGGGTGTCATAGATTGCCACATACGCCGATCGATCATTTTGCAAAGCGTCAGCGTTTTGTCGGCCAACTGGGCCCAGCCACGGTAGAGTACGATTTCGAAGATAGCGCGCATTAAACGGGACGCTGATTGCGTAATGAACACCATGTCGGACATAAGAGCGAAACCTTCGAGCTTTAATTGTGAAATATATGCTTGGAGCAAAACATTCACCTTGGCGCTGTGTTCCTCCATCGATTCTTTGATGGGTATGGGAACACGTTCCATGAGCTTCTGCAGTTCCAACTTTTCCTCTTCGCGAACGGCTATGTGTTTGAATTCAGAAGAGAGTGAGAAAACGCGGAAGAGCTCGATCTCGCTAAGAGTCTGCTTCAACAGCTGATTATAGGTCATCATCGTCTCATGCGTGCAATAGTAATGCGAAGCTATACGACCCAACTCGGTTACCTGGAACTGCCCACTCTTGCGATCGTACTTAATCAGCCCGCTACGATCCAAATGAAGGGCTGCAGTGTGTATAAGATCGGCGCGATGTTGCTCCAGCAGTGAATCATCCCGTATGGCGTCATGAGAAATACCATATAGTGTGGGATTGCGCAGCATACGTATATAGAGATAAGTATAACCGAGCCAATGTACCGCGTCCTTTAAGTTCTGTACAGTGCCCAGTACGATTTCGGCATTCAACATGTCGGGCATTTTGGATATAAACTGTGATTCGATAGGGAGCTGTTGGTTCAGCAACGAGAGATAGAACTGCAATTCGCTATGGTTTGTGATGAGGATGCCCTCACCTTTGGTATCGTATTGTGGACGACCGGCACGACCCAACATTTGGAGCACATCCAATGCGCTCAATTCGACCCAACGGCCTTTTTCAGGGTTGTAAACTTGGGTGCCCTTTATTATAACGGTGTGCGCTGGCAAGTTAACACCCCAAGCTAGAGTAGCTGTGGACACTAGAACCTGTGAAATTGGAAAAAAAAAGAATTAAAGAAACTTTCCAAGGATTACGGAGAAGGATTTCGCCTGGCTAGAACGATGTCCTAAAGTAGTATGCGTTTCGTAGCCATTTAGACTTTTTTCTTGGGCAGCAGATTTTGGCAAAAGTTCCCAGCTCATGAAATCAAATTTCTTACCTGTATGTGACGATCGGCGAAAAGATCCTCTACCAAAGTTCGATCAACGCGTGTCATTCCAGCATGATGAATGGCAAATCCATACGGCAAAAGCTCTTTCAATTCTGTATTCTTTACTTGCTCCGCCTCGGTACGCAGCACTTCCATGCTAGCCGATCCTTCGCGAAGAAAACTACCAAGCGTGTCCTTCTCAAGGCACATATCACGCACCGCACGAGCAGTCTTACCAGTTTCTTTCCGAGAGTGAACGAAAACGAGAACCTGATTGCGACCAGCATGCTCCATAGTCTTCTCGTAGACAATTTCATTCATTACTTGGAAGCGTTTCAATGCTTTCTTCTCAGTAACACCAATATATTGCTGTTCCAGCGCGACAGGACGAAAACTATTGTCGAAGTAAAATAGACCCTTGTCCGGTTTAACACGCAAGAAGGTAGCAACATCCTGGTAATTTGGCAAAGTAGCAGATAAGCCCACCAAGCGTACATCTTCCTGTGTCGTCTCGATATTACGGATGGTACGAGCTATAAGTGCCTCAAGTACAGGACCGCGCTCGTCATGCAACAAGTGGATTTCATCGATAATTACCAGGCGTACAAGGGAGGTAAACGTCTTTTCGCCACCCTTACGTGTGATGATGTCCCATTTTTCTGGTGTGCAAACAATGACTTGTGTAGCGGCTATTTGTTCGCGCGTGAGTTGATGATCACCGGTCAACTCCGAGACAGTCAAATTATAGCAGGCCAATCGGCGACCAAAGTTACCCACCATTTCTTGTACCAAGGATTTCATAGGCGCAACGTAGATGATTTTGAACTCATCAACATTGATGGTGCCATCCTCATTGATATGCTTGCCGATTTCGCGCATCATTGTAAGCAAAGCTACATTTGTTTTACCGGCACCTGTTGGTGCACACAGCAACATATTTTCATCGCTGTCCAGTGCGGCTTTCCACAGACGGCTTTGAATGCGATTAAGTGTTTTGAAACCGTCAAAGACTGGTTGCACGTATTTAGGTAGTTTATCAATAGGCTGCAGTTCTTCTTTATCCTCAAATGGTACTTGTTTCAAAGCGGGTACATGCACCTCTTCGTAGCCCTTACGCTGTTTTCGGAATGAGCCGTCGGGCAATTGGCATCGTTTATTAGCCATGAAATGAGAGCCTTGTGTAAAAGCGATCTCTTCTAATTCGAGCACTTGACGTACCCCAGCAACTTGACCAGCCATGCCTTGGCCGCCATCATCGTTCTCCTCTTTGGAACGTTTATTGGCACGTGAAGAGTTGCCATAATCGTCTTCCTCTGACTTGCCAGTGTCCAGTTGACGCAGAATTTTTGCTAAATGGCTGTCATTACGCATCTTCTCTCTGATTCGCTGACGTTCGCTATCAGTTTGCGCCGAAGCCAACATTGTACAATACAAAATCATTTGACGATTATTTTTTAGCTGTTTGATGAAATCGAAGCAGTCGTAGCCAAGTAAGAGTACAAGTTGATTTTCACAGTCCCGCTCGTCGGACGCATCCTTAAGTATTTTGAGAACATCCGCAGCTTTGCTCTGTGATACCATAGCGTCCTTGTAATATTTGCTAAGACAACGTTGCAACCAATATGCATCAATATCCAGTGGATGCAGACCTCGCTCTTTCTTGACATTGGCTGACTCCTCGGTAAGTAACTACATTATAATGAAATAGAGTCTTATTAGTAATATATATATAAATATGAAGCAGTGTTTAAAAAATAATCACATTTTCTGCATGCAGCGTGTGATCGATCCGCGCTTCCTCTCCTTCTTCCTGACCATCTTCATCGCGTATCTCGCCATGCATGTCATTGTCACTTTCTTCCTCTGATTCTTCGAACTGCACATTAATACCGTAAGTCTCGTCTATATGTTCTTCATTGCCAGCAATGCTTAAGGCATTAACGGCATCAGAACCAAAATCAGTGATCTTTTTACCTAGATTCACCAGCAAAGCAAACCTATAATGTGAGAATGTTTTTAAATAAAATTTTCTGATTGAAAATGTTATGGAATTTATAACTTACCTTTCATCGGTCACCGAACCCAACAAACTGTCGATTTCACGCTTTCGCTCGCGGTCCTTTAGTTTATCATTCTTTAACACCGCAAGAATTTCATCGGCTGCACCACAGAGTATATCACGCGGTTGATCGCCTAATGCCTCCTGTATGAAACTTAGAAGTACCTCATATGTCTGACGGGTTTCTTGAGTTTTAGGCCGGTACACAATACCAACCATTTCGTCTATACCTTCCGATAATAGAGTGGCCCCCTTCATACGCTCAAAATCATATTGAGCCTCATCACGCTTCTGGCGTTTGGCTTTTCGTTCTTCCATTTTTTCTGGCTTTGTACGCTGATAGCGATCGCCCATGCGGGTGCCTTCTAGCTTACCAACAAGAGACACGACCTCACCAGTGGCCTCATCACGTCGTGGGCGTTCAATAAGCCGCACATCCGCTTGCAAAACAAGATTGGAATTCTGTACAGAAAAATTAGTTTATATTTACAAACGGTTACATGTTTTAAAAACGTTTATTTTCGTTGTTTTCATTGTTTTTAACTCAACACATATACCCACCGCTTTATATTCATACTGAAGTTGACGAGCTGCGGCATCAGCCATGTCGGGAAATGTTTTCTTTTTTAATTAATGCACAAAAATGTTTTAAAAATTATTAATAATTTCACGGTTCATAAAAATGTATTATTTTCCACGGCCGCTTTTTCCTGCTTTTTTTGCTTTTTTCTGCTGTCAAATCTAATCTGTATTTCGGCTTTTATGACATTCGCGTAAAAATGTGTGACAAAATCAATTAGGGTTGTAAGCATTGTGAATAAATAAAAAAATGAGAATAGATGAATTGGAAATTAATGTCTGCGTCTCGACAGGTACCTCTGAAAAATTATAAGAGGACCACTTTTATATTTCAGACAATTTGGTCTTATTGAAATTTCGTTAGGTTATGTTAGTCGATATATATATTATATATACATTTTTAAAAGTTTGGTGTTGTCTCATATACCACAACTGTTCTCAAATTGTTTAATCCAATTGTACTGTGCTGCTACTATTTGGTGCTTTGAAACGCAACTCTATTTCGTTATATCGAGTAACCAGAGAACGTATAACATATACGTTCTCTGGAGTAACTCGCTGTCTTTTAGCTGTCAGGTGGGAAGCAGACATTTTCTTCTGAAGTGATTTTCTCGTGCCCGTGGTTGGTGGTGATTTTGTAAGTGCCAAATTTTTAATTAAATTTCATAATTAAATATTTATTTAAAACTTTACAAATACACAAAAAATGCCAAAACTATATAATTACAATTAAATTATTTTATTTTAGTAATAGAGTAGGAGAATACAATAAATGATGTGAGAAATTGGCAAAATTGCCAACGAACGGATCGTTATGTAACCTCAATATGAGGGTTGATTTTAATAAATTGTATCTGACCTTATATATAAATTAAAATACATAATATATATTTTTTCTTATATCTTTTGCAGTTTCCAATAAGAATTCACCGAAACAGCGTAACGTAACATAAAACCAACAATGTTCTCATCACTGTTTGAAGCTGCCAAAAACTCGCCTTTGCGTACACCATTTACCAAAGTCCAATGCGACACCACCGGTAAGTCTGGTCCAGTGCCCGGACGCCAGATTCAAGCAGCATCAACACCTAGCGGTGATTCGTGCGAATTCGGCAGCAACAAATACTTTGCGCTATGTGGTGTCGGCGGTATCCTGTCCTGCGGTACTACGCACACCTTCGTCGTACCGTTGGATTTGGTGAAATGCCGTCTACAAGTTGACCCCAAAAAGTACAAGAATTTGATCAACGGCTTCAAGCTTACCGTGGCTGAAGAAGGCGCACGTGGTTTGGTTAAGGGCTGGGCACCAACTTTCTTCGGTTACTCAGCACAGGTGAGTGAGTAGACGAAGTTGAAACTTTATGTTATACGCAAAGGGATATCGACGGTATTTGGCATTGAAATTAAGAAAAGATATACAAATCTGTGAAATACTTATTTCCGCGAAGTTTAAAAATCATTAAAAAATGGTGATTGGACGCTTTTGAAGAAAACGTGGAAAACAAACCATAAGTATACGTCGTGGTTACACAATACTCTCATTATTGGCTTATTGATTTTTAATGCTAGAAAAACCAGCTTTTTTTCTTGGCAACGCATCACGGTCCAATCAAACATATGTAGTGCAATATCCTTTTTCTTGAAGTAAATGCTAGCTTAACTTATCTCTTCACAACGAAATTAATGAATATTTTCATAGCTTATGGTCATATTACTTTCCGGTTCTGCTAGACGTCATTAATACAGTTTTTTTTTTATCTTTTATCATGTGATAAGAATTCATGCTAATTACCAGTAGACAAAAGAAAAAAAATGAATGCAAAGAAATTGAATTAAATGAATATGTATGTTGGACAAATATACTCCCTATTGTTTAGTTTCGTATACCTAGTATTTTTAAACTCTTTAGAAATTTAGATTGGAAGTTTATAGTATTTTTAGATATTATATATAACCTCCAGTACAGTTACTTAAATATATTCACATTTTCCTTATTTTTATTTAACTATTAATCGTTTAGGGTCTCTGCAAGTTCGGTTTGTATGAAGTTTTCAAAGTGTACTACTCCAACATTTTGGGTGAGGAGAACTCCTACCTGTACCGTACCTGGTTGTACTTGGCTGCCTCGGCTTCGGCTGAATTCTTTGCTGATATCGCTTTGGCTCCTATGGAAGCTGCCAAGGTCAAGATCCAAACCACCCCTGGCTACGCTAACAACTTGCGTCAGGCTTTGCCTAAGATGATTGGTGAAGAAGGTGTAGCTGCTTTCTACAAGGGTCTGGTACCATTGTGGATGCGTCAAATCCCATACACCATGATGAAGTTCGCTTGCTTCGAACGTACCGTTGAATTGTTGTACAAGTAAGTGCCATGATGTGCTCTTGACCTTTTGAACACACTTATTAAAATGTATTACTCCATATTTTTCAGGCACGTTGTACCCAAGCCACGCGTTGAATGCACCAAGGGTGAACAATTGGTGGTGACATTTGCTGCCGGTTACATTGCTGGTGTCTTCTGTGCCATCGTCTCTCATCCAGCTGATGTCGTCGTTTCGAAATTGAACCAAGCCAAGGGCTCCACCGCCATTCAAGTGGCTAAATCGCTCGGCTTCATGGGTATGTGGAACGGTCTGACGCCACGTATCATTATGATTGGTACACTCACTGCCCTGCAATGGTTCATCTACGATGGTGTCAAGGTTGCCTTGGCTCTACCACGTCCACCACCACCAGAGATGCCAGCTACCCTCAAGGCTAAACTCGAGGGCTCAACACAATAAGCAGTAATTTCTAGTTTTAATTCAACTCATCAGCAAACTACCACTACGACTCTAAATTAAATAAGTTCAGCCAGCGATATTAAAATGAGGCGATTTCAAGTCGTCGTCACAAGTAAAAGTAGTTAAGACGCAAACCAAAACAAGTATATAAAATTACCACAACAGTACGATTGAATATACCGAGAATATACACATTGGCTCGGGCATACGTAACGGCACGCTTATTTCGGGGGACACTTTACAATGCTGTACGTTACGCAATTGCATATAATTAGGAAAGAGAATACTTAGTAAATAAGCAGAAAGAGATAAAATTGTAACACGAAGGAAATATAATACACGCGAACACTGTACTATACATATGTATCTAATCTTCCACGCATTTACAGCAGCAACGTAATTCTGGCATTCCAGTGGGTACTGTAAATGTGCCACTCACTATAAACTTTGCATTTCTATTTTAAACTTTTTAACTAAACCGTTACTATAAAGTAAATTTAATGAACATTCTTGTATTTCACTCTGCCTATATACCGATATAAATGATTTTCATAAACTTAATTTATCTTGTATAGTATTGTAAAATGTATTTAAGTTAAAACCCGATTTGTGTGCAAAAGGCGAACAGAAGTTGTAATATGCATTTGTTAAGGAAAAAAACAGCATTATGGAAAATTTACTAAAAATTATTGTAAAATTGTTTAGCAGCATTAAATAAAAAGTATAAGATGTGTATATTGTTTTAACTAAATGTGTTATGTAATATATTTTTTAAAACCCCGTTAAACAGCGTTGTCAACGTTGTCCGAAGAATATAGTAAAATATTCAAAACTAATAAAAATTGTAGTAATTTTTCTTTTTCAAGTAAAAGTGGTGTATATGTGGTGAGTATGTGAGCGCAAAGAATTTCCAAAATAGGTGTGGTCTGAAATCAAGAAGGGATGGAAATAATATTTTAGCAAGAGAATTTTACGACGCAAAAACTGCGTAATTAGTTTATTTATAGAAAGAAAAAAATTATTTTGAAGGTCAATTTTCAATATGGTGCTAAACATAGGCATATATATGTATGTATTTAAGAAAGGCAATTTCAATTTTTATGTTGTCATGTTGATAAGAAATTACAAATATACATGCATATGTATGTATTTAAAATGCTGAAGTAACCCAGCAGAATATTTTAACTATACAAACAAATACCCGCAAGCAAAAGTTTGGAATTGCATCGCTTGAGCTGTTTTATTTGAAATTTTTTTTTAAGATTATTAATTTCTAATGAGGGAAAAACAAAATTCAAATTTTCATACATACTCGTATGTGCATAGTATGTATGTATATCAATAGATTAATGAGTGCTTGCTTATAGGTAAGTCCTTGAAATAATATTTGGAGAAATAAAAATAAAACAATAAACGAGTTGCAGCATTTTTTTTTTTAGAAAATATTGAATATATGTAGCTTTATTTATTTTATATGTATATATTTTTTTGTTTTTAGCATTTAATATTTTTAAGTTTTTTTTTCGTTTTTTTTCATTTTCATGTTGTTTTTACTGGCTTTTTATTGCATATTAAATTGTAACAAAAGTAAAATAATAAATTTTATATGGCAACATATTCGACATTTCTTACACACGCTTAAAGTCAATATGGATATTTATATATAGTACATATTATTAAAACTAGACATAAAAATTAATATTTACACTTCTTTATTTCATTTTATCTTTCTTTTCTAACAAATTTTTGCGTTTGACTTATTTATTTATTAGTGTTGTTAAAAAAAAAAAAGAAAAAATTATTTATAAAAGTTTGTTTTTTCGTAATTTTAGCTTAAAAACTATGAAACATACACACAAAATATAAATGTCGTTGCAATGGTAAAAAGTTTATACATATGTAATTAAAAAGTTTAAATCATAATGGTATAATGTACATACATATTAAATGAGTTGATTGTGGGTAAAAAAAATGTATTTTGTTGTCAGTTTATAAAAAAAATCAAATGATAAAATCTATGTATGCATATGTATATATAAAACACACATAAAAAGTCCCATCGAGACAGCCTTAAGTTGACACAGTAGGTTCTTAAGTCGAGTTGGCATGTACATACATATTTATATTATATAAAAATAATCACAAATAAACAATGTCAACATCATTTGTATATGTAAATGTATGAATATGTATATATATATATAATATTTATTTTCTATTAAAGTAAGCCAGTCTTGTACACACACATACACGACTCAATTCAGCAACACAAGCAAAATGTTTGATTAAAAAAAAATAGCGGAATAATTAAAAAATAAAACAAATATATTTTGCTAGAGTGCGGTAGAAGAATGGCTTCTTTAAATAACATATTTATATGTGAAATAAAAAGCATTTAAAATCGTCATGTAAAAGATTATGTTTAAAAACCCACGAAAAAATTGAAATGAATTGAAAAAAAATCACACAAACTCCGCGCACATAACACAAAATTGTTTTTACAACTTACAACTATCTACGTGTTTAAAGTAAATTTTTGTTTTTTTTTTCGTTTTTCCTTTTTCTTTTTTACGTTACATCTATAGTTTACATTTCCTTTTATAAAATTTATATGCATATTTTTGCGCTAAATATTTGATGTTCTTTTGTTTATGTGGCTATATATGTTGAGCTATAATAAATTTTCTTTTGTATGAGTGTTGTTGTTATTGTAGTTTAAACGCTTTATAACCACATCAAAGTTGATTTCAGCTCATTTGTTGCATAGTTTCTCAAGTAGTGCCTTTAAGATTGTACGTACTAACCTAACTTGTTCTTCTAGGATTGTCACCAAGCAATTCAAATGTACGAATTTGTTTAAAATTCTAGTTTCAAGTAAAACCAAAAAAAAAATTTGTTTCTGAATTGACGTTTTGTGGTGTTAAAGAGTCTTCTAGTGTTCTCACATAACCGTATTCTTACTTTCTTTTAATATTTTAGACGCAACTCTTTAGTTGACAACTAATAAATGTTAATAAATGTAAATAAATGAGCTAGGCTGAGCACATAGTGTATGAGCATGTAAGCAAATCTACGTTAGCTACGTAACCGCGCCATTGCGCCTGAAAGTATGCAATAAACGACTTAAGCACGCCTTTCTATACAGTTGTTGTTCTTTGCTTTCCCTAGTGCAGTTAATTTTCTAAGTTAGAATTTGTGCTAATTTCAAAAGTCAGTAAATATCTCGCTTATAAAGTCTCTAGCAAATATTTATTGGCTTTTAAAACCTAACCTCTACGCCCTGCTGAGAGTCGACGCTGCTTCTGGTTGTGAATTTGAGACCAGCTCTAAATTCACTTAAGCACTTTTTAACGCTTTCTATTCTGTTTCTGGGCAAACCAATTGTAAGGGTTAGTGTTGTTGCTTGCACTATCTGAACTAAATTCTACAATTTCTTTTGCGCTTTACTCATGCCAAATTGTTGCAGCGTTTTACTTTTGTTCACAGTTTTTCTTTAACATTTTTTACGTCGTAAATTATTATTTGCTTAATTTCATCTTCTTCTCTCGCTCAACTGTTTGTATAGCGGCACAGTCAGCGAGTTGATATCACTGCTCCTCCCTCCCCATCTGAGTAGTTGCTAATAAAGTCTTTTTAATATCAAAGCCTATGCAAGGTGCTGCACTAACACACTTGCAGTGGCTAATAAATCAGTTTTGTTGTTGTTGTTTTAAGTTAAAGCTTTCGTTTTCCAAAACGTACACAAATAGTTGGCAAAAATGATTGCACCATAAAATTTCTAGTCCCTCTAACGTTGTTGTATTTGTATTTGTAATATATGCGTGTGTGTGTGTGGATGTGTGTATGTGTGCATGTGTGTGTGTGTGTGACGCTAGATGGTTTTATAACTATAATTGGTTTTGGTTCATGCTCTACAGTTTCATATACATACATACATACATAGTTGCGCCGCTTTTTGTTACTTATGTATATGCATTGGCTTAATCATTTTTGCTATTTTTCAACTTTTTCGCCTATCGCGCTTATCACAATCACACACCACAAAAAAACGGAAAGCTGCTGCCTTGGGCATTCTTCCTGTGTCGACGTACGAGTACGCGTTTGCGCAACCAACGGCCGTGTCCTTGTTATGTACATACATATAATATATTATAACTGTATTTTTTGTCATTATTGTTTTCTTGTTCTTTTTGTAATTATTGTACTGCATTCTATTTTGGCGATTCTCAAATTTTTTGTTTTTTTAATTTTTTTCTGTTGCTGGGCTACTTGCGCTCATGACGCATGCCCATGCCACTTGGCGCGTCGGTACGCATCCTTACTTTTTTCATCACCTTTTATAATCCGCCACCTCACCAATATTTCTCCTCGATCTGTTTCTGTTGCCTGTTGAATTTGAGGAAATTTTCCTTGTTTAGCATCTCTGTTCAATCAAGTTGCTCACCAACAGCTTTGACTGCTTGCTTGTTACATAATTGAAATGACATTTACCAGTATGGGCCCGACTCCTTACTCCAATTGTTTTGCGTTAGATGCTCTTTAGTTGCGTGGCTCAAAGCTTCCGAAAGTGTAGACATCACGGGACCGCGACCAGCGTTGCGCGATGAATTCTTGTCGTAAGGCGAGAGCGCGTTGTAGTAGAAGGGTGAGCGCTTGGTTATAGTATAGTTCTTGCCCTAGATTGAAATATAATTGCATATTCATAATTATTTATAACAGCAAATTCCCTATGAATATGAATTTAATGTTGCTTCAACTTACGTCATTGTTGTCCCAGTACTCTTGATTATTAGCACGATAGCAAATGCAGAATTCCAAGCGTTTGGAAGATGGCGGTAATGTGATTTTGAATGAGAACGTATCGAAGACGACATGGGCATAGGTTGCCGGCCCATAAGCCTGAAAAAAAAACAAAAGAAAACAAAAAAATTCAAAATTAATATTTTCCTATTTCCCATTTCCATTTGCTATGTATGTTTGTATGTGTGTGTGTGCGTACACTTACCCTAGCAAATGTGCAGAAAATATCTTGTTGATTCTTCCAATCATCCCATGTCACACGCACAATCACCTCCTTCTCGAATGAAACATTTTTCACCTTTACAGTGCCCACCACAATGGACTCCTCATCCTTGACAATCACATTTTCCAGCGAGACCAAGTCTTGGTCGATCTTTTTTCTACATAAAAAAAAAAATTCAGAAATATAGAAATTCAGTAGCTGTAAAAATCACCGAGAGCGAATTGTTGCCCTACCTAAATGTTAGATAATCGGATGCTGGCTGTTTGAAGTCGACAGTCCATTGATCGGCCGGATGTGGACTAACGAGGCCCTGTGTGATTTGCTCCAAAAATTTTGTACTCCACAGCGGGGGCACATTTGAGGGTTCGGACATAACACGCACCTCTGTCAGCGGTTGACCCTCATCGTCAGCGAAGATTACTCGCTTGCGACAGCGGCTGAAAGAAAAGAATAGAAAACAAGAAAAGTTAATACATATTTTAAGCAAAAACAATATTAAAAAATTTGTTAAATAAAAATTAGACAAATTTCATGTTATCAAGGAAATTTCTTTATACAAAATTTAAGAAATAAAAATAAAAATAAAGATAAAATTCAATGAAGGTTATATAAAACTAAAAAGCTAAAATTAATAAAATTCAAATAAAAATTAAGTTTTAATAAAAATAAGTAATGAAACTTAATAGAACTTAAATGAAAATAAAAATTTAATATAAACTATAAATATAAAAAGTAATAGTAAAATAGAAGTAAAAAATGCGTAAAATAAGAAAATAAAATTAATGAAAAATGAATTAAAAAAAAATTACTCAAAATAAATAAAAATACAAAAATGAATTAAAAAAATAAATTTAAATTAAAAACTAATTAATTAATTATTATTAGCAAATTAAATAAAATTTAAATAAACACAATAAAATTAAAGAATAAAATCAAGTAAAAATTAGCTAAAAATAATTAATAAAATTAGATTGAAACTTTGATAAAATATAAAAATTCAAATGAAATAAAAATAAAAAATTAAGAATTAAATATAGAAAAAAAGTTAAATTTAATTAAAAAATTAATATAGAAAATAAAAGAAAAAAATTAATATAAATATAAAAAATAAGATTATATAAGAAATTAAAAAAAAAATGTAAAATAGAACAAACTCTGAAAAAAATAAATAATAAAATACGATTGAAACTTTGATAAAATATAAAAATTCAAATGAAATAAAAATAAAAAATTAAAATTAAATATAGAAAAAAATGTTAAAATTTCATTAAAAAAATTAATATAGAAAATAAAAGAAAATTAATATATATGAAAAACAAAATTATATCTATAAGAAATTAATAAAAAATTAAAAATAAAGTAATAGAAATAAAAAATAGAATTTTTAATTTTTTTAATGGTCTACATTTTTATGATTTGCTTTAGTGTTCTAATTTGCCACTCTCTCCGGTAACTTTATTCCACTAATATTCTGTGCTATGTATTTTTTGCATATAGCATAATGACAGCCTAATGTATCTGGAGCACCAGTTTATGGTTTGATTAGAGCTTCTCTACATATAAGTTTCTATTGTGAAGAATTTACAAAAATTTTACTACTTTTAGTGCGTTTCACTGGCCTATTTTTAGATTATTGTTTTTTAACAATATTACATTTTTTGGAATGAGTGATTTAGCAGCTGAAAGAAATATGTATAAGCGTCCGTGAGTGGGTGCAAATAGGAAATTCTTATTTTTTCTTCTAATTATTACTGTACATAAAAAAAATTACGACTTTGTTTACTTTTTAGTTTTTATTCTTAAATATTAATCAATATCTGCTTGAAAGCAAAACAAAGTGTTGAAAAATATTCAAAATTAAGTAAAGTATTCTTGTAAAAGCAATTTCACTATTTCAGCAATTGTAAAATAGGTTACTATATTTAATCTTTTACTTTTCAGGGTATTACGCTGCCCGGCAAAATCACACGACCAACGAGACATTTGAGCAAAAAAGCACCGAGATTGTTTTCCTCACGTTTTTTTTTCTTTGTAAAATAAAATAAAAAAAAAACAGAGTTTCTTAAATTCAGAATGAACCAATTCTCTAATACAAACATTTGTATGTATGTATCTACTCTTTCCGAATAAAAAAATCAGCCAAATATTGATTGCTTCATATGTAGCTGTCACCAAAAAGTAAAATTGAATTAAACTTGCCCAATTAAACTTGTGATTTTAAATCAAATGTGTCGTTTGAACTATGGGCGCACAGGTGAAGGTGTTTCAAAGGTGTTTTGTACCTAATCAATGATTTTTTTTTGCTTTCGAATCTATTTTTGTTTTGAACTTCACAGCTGGCCTGTGGGCAAATGCTTTATTTTAACGTAAGACCATGCTAGTAAAGGCATTTGTATGTAAATATTTATGTACATATATACTATAACAAAATTAGAACAGATGCGGTATTTACCTAGAGAACGTACATAAACACATACGTACATAGACTCGTATAATCTTTTTTTGTTGAATTTAAATACAAATTTGGAAGGTGTGAAAGAATTATTGTTGATGGTTGAGGTGGCTAAACGTAACCTATGCAGCGTTGACAATATAGAGAGACACTCCCCATTTTAAAAATGCATGCATATAAATACATACATATATACATACATACATACGTAAGTATAGTACAAAAATGTAAGCTGAAAGCTTGCCAATTATAGCAATTTTATTGCGACTATTTGTTTTAAAAATAAACAATTAAATGAGTTGTCATTGGTTTAGTAAATGAAAATGGACACACACACTCGTACATACTTGTATGCATATATCTTGCACGTGCCGGTACTTATATGGGCTCTTTGAACAGCTAAACACCTTTCATTCATTGCCTTATAATAGCTTTTTGATATTTTTTTTACCAGAGGAAAGTCTCTAACACCTTATAATTCATGAAACGGTCTTTGTTGTAGTAATGTGTCGAAGGGTCTTTTTGACGAGTCCAAGATTTGTTTGAACTCGATTTTTTAGTTTTTAATTAGGTTTGAAGATGGAAGAGAGCGAGAAAATTGAAATCAAGTACTTTTTGAGTAGATAACCAATTGTTTTCAACCTTAATGCAGGTTTAGAGTTGTCTTTTTTTACAATTAGCAGTATCTTTACGATACTCTACATACATAAAGATATAAAAAATTCATCAAATTTCGATAATTAACCTCATTTGTCAGCCTCTATGAAGGGATTTTAAATATTCGGCCGTCGTTCCGTTGCTTGCTACATATACCCAGCAAACAACGCGAGTACTCCATGCATGCGATCGTTAAAACACCAACAATCATCGGCTAACAGCAAGCTGCTCGCGAGATGTGAGTTGTTAAATTAGTGCACTACCGAGGAGTACCTATTGGAGTACTCCAATGAATCGTATGGAACAGAAGTACATATATACATATATGATAAGCTCTTTATCAATAACATCTTCAAAATATAGTGAAATCGTTTAATCTCGCTTGATGTGTCCATTAAACTGAATACCAAATTAAACTCACATTTGTGTAGGGATATGTAGGTATGTATATATCAGAAAAAACTTGAATAATTTATTAGTTATACATTTTTTTTTTTAGTTTATATTCAATTTTATATGCAAATCGGATATCAGGCCACAATTGCTTCAGCAAGCGGATATACATATGTATGTACACCATATGCACATGTGTATATATGTTTGTAATTTGTATTTTATCTATTGTAGAAAACCGGTTTTTATTCAAAATAAAGCGAGACATACATATAGATTAGGCGCAACTGCTTAGGAAAATTTATGTGAAAACATTAAAAAAGTATTAAAATCCAATTGCTTACGGAGAGCTTTATTATTTAAGAACTTTTATGTATATATGTATGTACATATGTAGGCTCTTTGCATGTACTAATTAGTAAATGTATTTGCCTTTAATTATCATTTTGTCATCAAAAAATTTCTTCGTTTATCAGGTTATTATGCATGATTTTTTTTATAACGGTAAATTTTGATAACACCTTTGACGTGGTTCGCAGGTGATCGCCTACATGAGAGAGTCTTTGCACAGCTGGAGCATTTACCTTTGTCTGCTGCTAAAAATAGTTGGTCTGGTGTTTATTATTATTATTTTTTTACAACACACGAATCTTTAGTGGATCTATATACATATGTACGCAAATATATGTATGTATGTACTTCATCATGTATTGCTTTCCTGGAAGGGCAAAATCACTCGGGTTAAATTCTGGACTGTAGAGTGGGTGATTATAAATATCGAAGCCCACCGAGTGCAGGGCAGGCAACGCAACGCATAATTTTTCCTTAATGATTTCTTTTAGTCGCTTTAATATTGAATACTAAAGCGAAGTAGTTTCCAGTTATAAAACCACCTTTATCTTTATAATAGGATAATAACGCTCCTGCTGAGCCCCAAAAGACCGTTGTCATGAGTTTTCCATTTGGCTGTGACATCTTTGACAGGTTAGATGGATACTCCAAAAATTTCTGCGAGTTGTTTCTTCTTTAGTCGTGCATCATCGAGGACTACTTTTTCAACTTTTCGGAAAAACTTTCCCGAATATATTTCTTGGTTAAAGCTTCCCGTAGCTCAAAGGTTATTTTTCTAACGACAATGAGTTCCTGAACCTAATCACCCATCTACAACCCTCTCATTACGAGAACATAAACACGGTTCCTCAGGCATATGCTTGACTTCATTACTGTTATTTATGTGACTTGCTTTTATTTCAGCTTCAACAGTTTCTAAAATAATCGCTTCGTCGTTTGTCTACATTAAACATATTTATGTGTATGCATGAAAATAATTGCGTAGCTCCCGTTTTCGCCTCTGCCCAGAACTAAAAAATATTCAATATTGATATGCAAAAAAAGTCACTTAATCGAACCACAAGTTGGTCGGTTCTTTACATACATATCTACACACAAGCGTACATATATAAGCGAAAGAAATCTCAAGAAATCGAGAAAATTACAGAATTTCAAAAGAATGCACAAAACAGATGTAAAAAATGCAGCAACAAGTGTTAACGAACGCTCGAGCGCTGCGTGAACGAGTTGGAGAGAATGGCAGAGAGTGGCTAAGCAAGCGGTAGGTGTTGCTGAGAACAAATTATTACAAGCGATTTTCTTTTCACTTAGTAAAAATTACATATTCACCACATTGAAACCTCGCCGCTCACACTCCAAGGAATGTGCAGTCGGCTGTGGGCTGTGGGCTGCGCTGAAAGTGCAAGAGCAAAATGTATTGATTTTTATTTATAAGTATGCGTACATATGTACATATGTGTGTGCATGGGCTGCTTATTTTCTTTACTTTTGTATTAATATTGCTATTATTATCGTTTAGCCGCCACGCTTTGACACGCTACCATTTTTTCTGTTGTCTGTCTTCCTCTTCGACTGATCATGTGG